CTTATAATGGGACTGTGGTAGTGCGGAAGGCAATCTGACACTAGCTGACACTGAGGGGAACTGACTAACTGCCACTGACATCACCAATGACAATAATACAGTGATCAGTGATAATACACTGAACTAATGACACTGACTGGGAAGGGGTTAACACCTAGGGCGATCAAAGGCTTAAATGTGTGCCTACCAATGTTTACTATGTGAAAAGTGTGCTGCTTTTTACTAATGAGCTCTCAGTTTCTTATCCCTGCTTTGCAGGGTTGAGAAACAGAGCGATCGTTCCCCCTGTACAGAGCTCTGTGTTGATTGTCAACTCGAATTCTGGGCTGTGACTGTACACAGCCAATCAGCAGGTCCCGGCCATGAATATTTGGCCGGGACCTGCTGACAGGCTCCCGCTGTGTACAATCACAGCTGAGGTAGGTGGGTGAGGGCACGCTCGCACACACCTAAAACCCAGAAACAGCAATGTACGGGTATGTCACTTTACCTGTGAGGGCCATTTTACAGCGGGCATTCGGTCTGCAAGCGGATAGAGAAGAAAAAAGAACTTTTGTACATGAATCCTAAAGTAGGCCATTACCTAAAATGTTAATGTGAAATTAAAAAAAAGTGGCATATGCGTGAAATACCTTTGTCAGAGAAACTGTTCCTATATGCTCTTTCCTATAAAGATCATTTATCAAAATCTACGCATTTGGTCATGTGATCTCTGTTGAAGGGAAGGGTCAGCCAATCTGAATGCTTACCCTTCCCTGCAACAAAGATCACCTAGCCAAATCAATTTTACTTCTGGTCACACAAGGAGGACAAAACAGCAAAATGTTTTCTTCGTGGAAAGTAAGCAACTTCACTACTGCTATCTCTATCCATCTAAAACAGCCATTCTCAACCAGGGATCTGTGGAACCTTAGTGTTCTTCCAGAAGGTTGCTAGGGCTTGAGTGGTGGGTGACTGGTCTCCCATTTGATTGAATCTGCATAGGTCTGAGGCCAACACCTCTTGGCAGAGCCAGCAGTTAGCACGAAGGATCTTTTTACCTGTCTGTAAGGCCTCACGCACACAGGACATTTATTTAACTCTCTTAGAAGTCAGCAGCGCTTTTGCAGGTAAAATGTCTAAAGCTTGTAAAAATGTCTAAAGCTTTTAGGGGCTTTTACAAGCGTCAGGCTCTTGGGCATTAATTCATTTCATTGCCCAGAATAAATTATTTTTTCTGGCCATTGAAATTAATTAATGCCAAAAATCGTGCATTGCATTTAGGGGTGTTTAACAGCTTTTAGTAGCTTAAAACATTTTTTCTGCCCAAACTCTTCTGCTCCTGGCACACTGGCAGTATTTTTTTTTCCTGCCTCTGAAAGCCCCTGTCACTAAAAGCTTCTAAAAGCTTATATGTGCATGGACACATAGGATAACATGTTTGGAAGCAGTAAAAAAAAATGCCTGATTGCAAAAACGCCCTGTGTGCATGAGGCCCAAGGCTGGCATTCTGACCATCATTGTAAAGGGGGGCAATTCTTCCCACCAACCATCACTGTAAGGGAGATATTCCTCTCACTGTCCACCAATGGATTGTTTTTAGGAGGGGTTCCCCTAGATCTGAAAATTATTGCAAGGTTCCTCTAGGGCAGGGGTCTCCAAACTATGGCCCTCCAGGTGTTGAGGAACTGCAAGTCCCATGAGGCCTTGCAAGACTCTGACAGCCACAGGCAAGACTCCCAGAGGCAGAGGCATGATGGGACTTGTAGTACTTTAACAGCTGGAGGGCCATAGTTTGGAGACCCCTGCTCTAGGGGTAAAAAGGTTAGGAAAGATTGATCTATCCTCCATCCCAAGAAGATCTGGTAACATAGTTTTAAGCAAACATTTAAGCATTTGTGCGTTTTTATCACTCAACTTAAAGTGGAACTAAAGTCTGAAGATAATCACGCCTGCTCCAGCAATGCTACATTTTTGATGCCAACATCTTCTTCTTGGGCTTCTTACGGGTACAAGGTCTTCAGCCACACAAGAGCTAACTGATCCTGGCACCCAACAGATCCTGGAATTGTACCCAGCTGTGTACAGTGTAAAGAAAATTTCGAAGAGGAGGGAAAGAGTGATAAGGAAGGGCTGATATCCTGCCTGTGCTCACTTACAGCAATTTGCTGGTGACACCAAGGCAAACCCATCACCTGATCTAGCTGAAAACGGCTGATGGGGTGACTGTTGTCTCACTGTTGTCAGTTAGTGCCCTGAGACAGAGCCCATACCAAGGCACTACCTGTGATTCTTTTTTTTGTGTATTTTATATTATATGCCACACAATTAGCGGAATTCATCAATAAATAACACTGCCTCCAGAGCAAATAACAATAATTATATTAGGCTTTAACAAATGGTCCTTTTGCTTTTTAGATGGAATTAGTTTGATCAATAAACATCTGTGTTGTGCATGCATGATATATATTTCTGAATAATTAAACAGTTTTCAGAAGTCGTTGCACCATATGCCGTTCTCCTTTGTCCTCAATACACTTGCTATTTTTCAGATGCTGTTTACATTAGCCTAGTTTCCATGGTGACTATAGAAAGGGAAAAAGAGTGAAGGATTTAAGCTATTCATTCAAAAGACAATAGCGGGTGGATTACATCATATAAATATTAATATTTCAATTTAGAGGTGTTTCGGAATTGAACATCACAATTTCCCCTGGCTAAGAATGAAATGTAGCACTTTATAATTACCATAAATTAGCATGAAAATTGTTAAATCTGCCTGCTATATATTGTTGTTGTTTTTTGGAATGTTCTAAGTTCTGTTTGTGCGATTCGCTGATTAGAAACTAAGCAAGTTTAACAAAACGGTATAATTATGTAGGGGTGGTGTTACTGCTATACCAAAAATATCAAATGTGTTTCAGGATCTCTGTGTTCACTAAAAACAGAAAGTAAATGCTGTACTTACTTTGTTTTACTGAACTCTACGCAGACATAGGAGATAACCATTAATTCAGCTGTGTATTCATTAATAAATCAATAATTAATAAGCCCCGGTTCACATATATGCGGCCGTCTGGGCCGCGTTTTGCACGGGCACGAGAGCCCATTCATTTGAATGGACTCCCGTACCCTGTGACATGCACAGAAGTCCCTGCACTTCTTCCGAAAATGCAGCCCGCACGGGAACCTCGGTTCCCAGTACAGTTGTGTTTTCCCGTGCAGGCGGTATGCCATTAGAATTAATGGGTCCACATTTCTCTGTGCGGGCGGTGCGGCTGCACGGATTTTTGTGTGGATCTGCAGCGGCACCACCCGCACATATGTGAACCTAGCCTAAGTGCCTGAATTTGGTTTGGTCTCAGCCTCTTGCAATCCTCTATATGGCAGAGCCCAGACTGGGAGAAGGAAGGACAGCACTGGGAGCCAATCATATAATCTGCATGCAAATATGCTAACAAAATGACAGGAGGAGAGGGCAGAGGGAGGAGAGGGGTGGCCTTATTAGTCTTCTGCTGCTCTTTTGCTGTACAATCAGCTGGCAGGGAGCAGTGAGGTGCCAGTAGTTCCTTAGTTGTAACAGGGAAAGTAGTGCCATCCTCCTGGCTACACTGTCTAGCTGGGATTTATAACTTTCAGGGCTGGATGGATTGGTGGATAAAACCATTTCCATATATGCAATTTACCTATCTGTTAAGATTTTAAACTTTAACTGCAAAAGGTTTTTTTTCAAATTTAATCTGTAGACATAACTAATAACCCCATGGACGTCATGATATTTAAAGGAAACCCGTGCTGAGAATATACTATGCATAGGGCGTCTTTTCAGTGGGAATGTGGGGCAATGCAGTTCTGGCACCTCCAGCACTGAATGTATGTAATAGTAAGGGATGCTGCGGTGTGCTGGAGGGTCTATTGATGATGGCTGCTGGGGGATCTATTGTCACTGATGGGAATCTATTTTTGCATGGGGTCTATTGTTGCTGGGGGATCAGTTGTTGCTGGGAGGGATCTCCTGTTGAGGGAGGAGTCTATTGTTGCTGGCTACTGGAGGGCATATTTATGCTGGCTGCTGGGAGATCTGTTGTTCCTGCTCGGTGTCTCTAATTGCTGGGGTGGTATTTTGTTGTGAGGGGTCCATTGTTGCTGGGGGGTCTATTGTGTGGGGTATCAATTGTTGCTGGCTACAGGAGCACTACTGTATTTTATCGCTTTTCTTGTTATCATTAACATGTTACATACAAATTACTTAGCACCACAAAATGATACTTGGTTCTGTATTCTCTAAAAGGGGCAGTACTGGGAGGTAGGTAGGAGGTGAAACCAAGGGATGGTGCTTGGAGGTGGGTAGAAGGTGGAGACAAGGGGTGACTCAAAAGGTGGGGAGTTCCTGACTGTACATACTGTAGGAATATATGACTTCATTGTATTACCTAATAGATATACTCTGGGACAGCAACTAACTGGTACTCAGTAAACTTACTCACACCAGTAATCAGTCATATGAAGTAATGTTTATAGCTTTAGAAGAAAGCACGGTGCCAGAGCTGATATGGATGGTGGTAGTGAGGAAGGTTACAAGGCTACATGTGATACAAATAGATATCTCGTAGGTTGTTTTCAGGAATGTGGCCCCCTTCCCCAAAAAAGTGTTAATCCTACTCTAAACATTTTAAGTACTGCCTAAGAATGGACACCACACAATACCCGCTGTACCTTTATTAGCAAGATGTAATTTCACTTTGTTATTAGAGCCTGACCTTCCCTAACTTTATGGCTTAACTCCGCTTTGTACAATGAGCAGCCCATACTGGCTGTACTGACCGCTGAGGCATTCTGTTTGGACAGTGGAATAGCAGTTGTCAGGGTTTTGCCATTAAAGTGTTACTGAACCCACAACAGTAAAATCAGTCTGTATATACAGTAAAGCATGCTTGTTATACTCACTGTGTAATCTAAAGGGTTAATCCCTTGCATTGTGTAAAAGGCTGTAATACAGAGCCCTAGGAGACACTCTGCACATGCTTAGTTTGATGTGTATTGCTAGAGAGTTTTTTTTTGGATGGCTGCATGTGATCAGCACAGGGTCAATCAGCACTGTCCAGACAGAGGGTCAGGGGTCATGCAGCTTCATAAGACCGGCAGAGGAAAATGAAAACTCCTCCTACAGTCCTTAACCAGTGCTCAGCTGAACACTGATAGAAGTCACAAGACTGTTATATACTGCTGATGAGAAAAAGTATTTTGTAGTTTATATTTAGTAAAATAATTGCATTTCCATGGTCTGTTTACTGTGGGAGAACAGATATATTGAATGTAGGGTCCTGGGTTAAGTAACATTTTAACCTCTTCACGCCAGCCGCACACAAATGTGTGGCCTCCCGGTGTCTGGGCCTAGACGCTGAGCGGCCAAACATTTGTGTGCAATTAAGAAAAACATATGTGCTGAGAGTGCGCGCCCTGCGCGCTCCTAGCACACATGTCCAGTACTCACGGAAAGGTCCCGATCTCCTCTTTCGTCGGGACCTTTCCTAATCATGTGACTGCCGTGACAGCGAATCATGGTGGTCACATGACCCTAAAACCCCACTCCGCCTCCCGGCTTTTGAAACCCTTAAAGGGCTGGGAGGCGCCGGCGCCATGGGGTTAAGCATATAATGGGATTAAACTGCACAATATGTAAATTTAGAATATCAGTGCAGACTAGAAAGTTGTGCAACTAAGAGTAACCTATAGAAACCAAATTCATATTTACTGATAAAGATTTCGGCTCCGTTGACACTTGTGTGTTTTGTAGATTGAAGCACAAAGCTCAAAAACAGGTAACACGTAAAATCCCATTCATTTCAATGGACTCTGCTCATTGTGTCTCTTGCAGCAGAACACCTGTTACTCCAAAAAGTATATGAGCTACTTATCAGGCAGAATTAAGTGTTTTTGTCCCCATAGACTTTAATGGGAATGCCTGAAAATGCCTAATTTGAGCGTTTTTTTCAGGTGTTTTTTTTTAGCCTATATTAACTGGCCTCCTCCTCCTAGTGATTTCCATTGGCTAAAACAAAAAGCCTGAAGCTTGAATACACATGTAAAATGGCTATAATACTCTTCTAAAAACACCTGTATACACTTGTGAAAATGTTCAAAAAAGCACATCTACAAAACTCTCTGCTCAGGTGAGAATTTAGCCTTGTTGTGATCATTTATTGTAGATTACTTTATTGAATAAACTTCACTTGACGTTGTCTTGTTGTTGGCAGAGATGCTTGCTTACCTATACCCATCACTTTTCCATAGGAAATCATGTTGACAGGTAGACGCGGGTCATCATACTTCTCACACTTCATGAGTAGGCGCACAATTTCTCCAGGAATAAAGGCATTATCAAATGACTGCCCTTCCACTGGCTTTTGGGGATATTGGCTGTAGACCTCCACCGCGCTTAGAGGATTGTCTTTAAGCAGAAGTTCAGCTAGCTCTGTATAGGCATCATGAACCTAGGGAGAACAATTGCTGATCAGCTATACACAGGAGGGGCCTCATTTATACATGCTTTTTGCAGCTAAAAAAAGTTATATATTCATATATATTAATCACATATTCATTAAGATGCAGTGCTTTGCATAAGCCTTTATCCCCCCTTCTACATTTTGTGGTGTTACAATAATTTACAATAAATTAAAACGGACTTACTCTGAATTGTGTTCATTTAATCTGCACACCATACGTGACACTAGATGTGGCACTAGACCAAATTTTAGCTGCAGTCATAGCTGTGTTTACCAGCTTCACAATTTTTACTGTTCCTCTTAGTAGGTTTTCCCATATTGTAATGGTACTGTTTGTGAAGAGCAATTTTCAAGTTTTTACATATATTTTCAACTGGATTGAACTGGGTATTACCTATGTTCCTCAGGTTCTTGGGTTGAAACCTTTACCCCAGTCTCAGGTTTCAAGTTTCTTTCAAACTGAAGAAGTCTCTATAATTGTTTTCTATTTGGGTCAAATCATCTTGCTTTTAGTCCTAACTAGTTTCCAGTCCCGAGCTATAACATGATGATAGCTCAATCATGCTTATCATTGGGAATGTTTTTTTCAGACTGATGAGCAGTGTTGGATTTCCACCACAGATAGTGTTTACAGCTAAAGCCAAGAATTCAGTCCAGACCAGAAATCCTTATCCATATTTTCGTTGTCTACCACATACCTTCTGGGGTTTGTTATGTTTTTTGGCAATGGCTTTCTTTCTATATGCATTCATGAAGTCAAGATTTTTGGAACTTTCAAATTATAGTAGTCACATAGAGGGAATCCCCATTGTGGCTGAGGATCTTTGCAGCTATTTCAGTGATACCACTGGCGTATTGGTTGCTTTTCTGACTAATGTCAGATTTTTGTTTTATAACTCAATCCTGCTTGATGTTGATCCAGTAAAGTGATGGGTGAATCTACCTGGGTTTGATTTGTTGAAGGTTCTGCAAATCTGGAGATCAGGTTGAACCCTGCTCTTATATTCTGGCCATTTTTTGAGCTAATATGCAAACTATAGCCAAAAAAGAAGCTGGGTACTGCCATAGGGGACATATGACAAATGAAATAAAGAATAGCTGGGAGAGGGTCCTTTAATGTGGCTCCAAGTGCAACATGGAAGAAACACCAACCCTTTTGGTTTACATGCTCAGGGAATGCCTTTAAGCAGAAAGGTGTTCAGGAATAATACAATTTTCACTGATATTTTCAGTGACACCTTATGCTGTCATCAAATATGTTAGATCTGTAATTCTTTAACGTTAACATTTAGCTTTGCGTAATATGGAAGTAGCACTGATATGATTCATTTCAACTTTTTTTAGATACAGTAGATTTGACTGCAGCAGCTAATTTTCTTTTATCACATAGTAATAGGTCTGAGTGGACTAATGGAAGTAGAAAGCACAGCTGACCTAAAATCTATAAAAACTTCACACAAATGGGCAGTTTCATAGTATGTAGTTTGTGAGATTGTATTGATGGTTTATTAAAAGACAATGTGCTGTGAAAAATAAAAAGTGCACAATAACATTTCAGACCCACAACCCCACATTCTCTCAACCCTTTCCCATCCCTGTTTATTCCCAAAATATGTACAACTATGAAGTTTGGGGTTATCTAACTGAAGTGTAGCGCCCATTAGTGAGTATAATCCACATCAATAATTCCATTTAAGGGCTTGTAGGCCCACTTTTATTCAAAGAAAAGTTCACAAAGTTCCATAAAGCATAATTTGCGGTTTCCTATGCAGGGGGTCTTCACCATTAACACCAAAAAACATGAAATATCCAGCCTCTGGGCTCATTTTAGTAAAGAATTAGTCACGCAGCCTCCTTGCTTACACATACCACAGTGCTGCTCAGACCTTCCACTTTAGACCCTCATCTGTCTCCCACAGACCATTTCCTTGCCCATTAGTGCAGTGCTCTGTACAGTGCTGCTGGCAGATCCATGTGCATACACCTTAGAGCTGCGTTCAGGCAGTCCATAGAAATGGATGCACAAGCAGCACCAGAACGGATACAATCGCATGTCAAAGTTTGCATATCTGCAATCAGATCTGTGCACCTGCTCCTGCCTGCATGTCAAACTTTGGCATGCGATTATGTCCATAGCGATTCTGCATGTGCATCCACTTCTATGGACTGCTTGCATGCAGCTCTGAGGTGGATGCACATGCATTTGCCAGCGACTCTGCATGTCAGATGGCACAAATGAGCCATCTGAATGAGCCCTAAAGGGTTTTTAGGCACAAATGTGATAAATTAAAAAAAAAAAAAAAAAAAAAAAAAAACTTTTACAATCTATAAACACATATAGTTTGGAAAAACGTAGATTTTTCCAGTTCAATATTATGTTCCATTTTGTATAGACCAAATAACTCCAATAAAATCTATTTTCATTTCCAGTTGTTACACTACAAAAGTCCAAGGGGATAGGTGGGAGTGATTGTATAAAAGACACTGTATATGTTTTCTTTATATTATTTCATATACTTCTATAGCTATTTTCAGCCATGATATTGTTTTTCTATCATATTGGTTCTTATTGTTGAAAACAACAATCATTATGGCTGATAATGATAGTACATTAAGTCCCCTACATCTGAATGCTCAAGTTGTGAACTTTCAAAGATGTTGACGTGTTCACATGTGCAATCATGTAAAGCTGGGTACACACAGATTTTTTTCATTCAGCCCAGCAGGCTGAACGAAAAAAAAAAAAAAAAAAAAATCCTGCCAGATAGCCGTACTAACACATGCAATATTGGTGTGGCAATCTCCCACAATGTGCCTTTGCATTCTGACAGGGGGACTCGCCCCACCAGAACACATTGATCAGCGCTTGCTGCCATTGTCTGCAAGTGCTGATGTTTGTTGGACTTAAGAACACGCTCCCTGAATGGTACTCATTTGTAAGTAGAGGATTTACTGTATACCTTCCCATATGGAAGAAAAATATATTTGAAATATATTTAAAAAATATTCTTCAAAAATACAAATCTATATTTTTGGAATGCATTTACAAATATATGTAAAAATATATTGTATTTTTAAAGACATACAGTATATTTGAAATGTAGTTTTAAAATAAATTTTAACATATTTTGTAATAAAAAATGCATTTCAACATACAGTGTACATATATATATATATATATATATATATTTATTATTTATTTATTATTTGTTGAAATATATTTTGAAATATATTGAATACGGCCAAAATTGTAGCATTTCGAATATATGTCAATATATTTGGGAAGAATATTTTTAAAATATATTTCAAATATATTTTTCTTCCATGTAGGTTGGTAAATTAAGTCTTCTGTTATTTGTCTAGTAAAGGTTAGAGAATGAAAACAGAACACCATTGCCATACCTCTGGTGCCATTTTGATGACTTCTCGATAGAGATTTGATGCATCAGATGTGGTTTCCTCACTACGAGACAAAGCACGCGCTAAACCCAGGCGATACAGGAAGGAACTGTGATTAACAGACACTTGGCCAGGAGATTGCTCTATGTTACAGATAATAAAAAAAAAAGTCATTATTTCATTATACAATGGATTAATACTATAAAT